TTATTTTCACTTCTAAATGTCRTGATGGAAAGTCACACACAGCCAGGACTGGAGCTGGATACATAATGGACTGTTTGCACGCTTCAAGTCTGTTTTGCATTTCCTCACCCGCCTCTGACAGGGTCAAGACTGCGTGAGTGCATTTCTGTGTTTGTGCCACAGGTGTTGGTGTGTGGCCACTGGTTTCTACACAAACACAATCACCAGCACTGTTTAATATTTTAATTTCTTGAGAATGCTGTTAGACAAAGCTTCTTTCCAGATTCCAGAGTTGTGAAGCCACAAGGAAAAATCAAATTGAACAAACAAAATCTGTTTGGACAAAAAAAAAATCTGGGTATTTTTGTTATTTTCAAGCAAATATCAAAAACGATCAGAGCAAACTATTTCAATGGAACTTATTTAAGAGCAGAGTTGCATTTTCCAGATTATATTCATTTAGTTTGAGTGTGAAGCTGCAGAAATTTAGAGAAGTAGTGTGATGTAAAGCCACTGAGACTCTAAAAAACATTTAAATTCTGCAACAGACAGAAGCCAGTGCCAGTGCAGAGAGGCCACTATGAGTCTAATATGATAATTATATTTCTTTCCTGTCAGACTGCAGGATTCTGCATTTTCAACAACCTGATCGAGCCAGCGTGATTACAGACTAAAACTAATCTACCCAACATTACAGTAATTCAAGCAAGTTGTAATGAAGACATTAATTATCAGCTCAAAGTCATGCAACAGAGTGACAATTATGTTTTAACCTTGGACCAAATTACCTAAAACCCAACAAATCATCACAGCAGTAATGAATCAGCAGCACTGACGTTCTGCAAGATAATAAAATAAACTGTCTGTAAAATGCACAGGTTTATAGTAACTAAGTACATTTACTTTGTTACTTAAGTCATTTTTGAGGATTTGTAATTTTACCAATTATTACTTTTTATTTTGTCACATTTAAAGCCTTAAGATGATACCTTTACTTCTTTACTTTAAAAATGTACTCATTGCAAAATGAAATAAGTTTGAACTCATCATGAAAGGAGTTGTTTCTGCACTCTGAAAATGAAGTGTTGAATTTACTCAACCAAGTCATGTCAACTGGCTYCACTAAACCTAGTAGAGTAAATATGAAGAAAAATTGCTCAATTTACTCAACTTGGTTCAGTGAAACCAGTTTGGTTCATAAATTCATCCGTTTACAGAGCGTGTAAAAGTACTTTTACTTCCCTGATTTTTTGCGAACGTTTTTACTTGCGGTAAATACTTTTTCTCATCAGTGAAGTTTTTTTTACCAAAGTCATTTTCTGTTAATGTACTATTACTTTTACTTAGTTTTTTTCAAATAGCTCTGGTAAAATGTAATAAAACAGCAACAGATGAAACTAAGACTAAGTTTTATTTTTAAATTTATAGTAAAATAATAAMTTTTAGGTGACCCAAATTGAAGTAAAGTTTTTTTTTAATTGTTGGCGAGAATCAAAGGTTAAACTGAAGCTTGTATGTAACATATTTTTCTTACCCCACATAGGAATAACATGTAAAATCAAAGCTATTGTTGGGCTGTTTCATATTTTGTTTGTTTTACACAAGTTAATTATTGTTTTTTTCTCTGGGWGGCTGTGGCAAAGTGGTTTAGGGTGTTGTCCTGTAACCAGTAGGTTGCCAGTTCAATCACCCGTTCCAGCCGTCTCAGTCGTTGGGCAAGACACTTCACCCACCTTGCCTACTGATGGTGGTCGGAGGGCAGCCCCGCTTCTGTCAGTGTGCCCCAGGGCAGCTGTGGCTACAGTAGCTTACCACTATCAGTGTGTGASTGAATGGATGTGGACTTGATAAGGTGCTTTGTAGGTTCAAGTCCATTTGCCATTTATTTTGTTCATTTGCACTTATTAAAACAGTAAGAAAATAAGCATATCACTTGAGAGGTCACAAAAACCTGGATGGGCTTAAAATAAAAATAATTATAAAAAAACAACAACTAAAGAATTGTATAAACAGTAAACATAATCTTACAAAATTAAATATTCACTTCCTGTCCTGCAGGAAAGTTTTCTCCTCAGCGTAGTTTGAGCATTCCGTTGGACTTTCGTGGACAAATCAATATTTTTAATTGTTTTTTTATGTTGAATCCTTTCAAAGCTTTCTTGTGTCATGTTGAGGAAAGCTGCTGTGGCCTTTTCCATCCACCTCGTTAAAGGCTGCAGAGACTCTTACAAATTCCAGATGAGATCAGAGTAAAYGTGTTCTTACCCACAGGGATGCTGTCTCGTTAGGCAGAGCTGGTTGTCTCTTCTCACAGAAAGCCACAGAAAACTAACCAGCGAGCCGCAGGTTGTGTAATCTGTTCTGGTCACAGCTATGGCAGYGGTGTTGACTGGATGCTCCTCACTCAGCTCCCACCTTCTGCAGCAGCTACAGCCTCCATCGAGTTCAASTGTTCCTACTGGCAACATGTGAGCCATTAAAACAAATCAAACTGGTTTTAAAAGATAATTAGGTACCACTTTTCAATAAGGCTCCCCTTATAGATAGCCTATGAATAGTTTGTAGATCAGTTATTAATTCATTTGTAGACACAATCAGTCGTTAATAAGTGTTTATTATTCATTCGGGGCGGCTGTGGCGGAGTGGTTAGGGGAGTCRTCCTGGAACCAGAAGGTTACTGGTTCGATCCTCCATCCAGCCCTCCCACTTGTTGTGTCCTTGGGCAAGAAACTTCACCCATCTTGCCTACTGATGGTGGTCAGAGGGTCCGGTGGCGCCGATGTATGGCAGCCCCACCTCTGTCAGTGTGCCCCAGGGCAGCTGTGGCTACAGTGTAGTTTGCCATCATCAGTGTGTGAATGTCAGTGTGAATGGGTGAATGTCTGTTAGTGTAAAGCGCTTTGGGGTCCGGAGGGACTTGAAAAGCGCTCTATAAGTTCAGTACCATTTACCATTTACCATTCATTAGGGATGGAAAAGAGACAAAATTGTCCAGTTTCTTGCCAAATWGTGACCCAAATATGTTCATGTATATATTACATCTAAAGGTGCTTTATTGATCATTTCAGACTACCTTGTAGGCACAATAATTTATTGAAAACACATCTTTTACTTATAATATTGTACTGTATTACCGCACTATACATATCCGCAGTAATCAAGGGGAGCCTTATTGTAAAGTGTAAAACAACGTATTATTTATTAATGACTAATAATGTCATAACAGAGCCTTATAAATAGTGTACTSTTTTTCATTTTACAATAAGGCTCCTTTATGGTATTTATACAAGTTTATTAGTCATTAATAAATAGTGTACCTACTGTTTTACATTTTACAATAACGCTTCCTTTGAAAGCTCTTAATGTGTATATTAAAGTAATATAGTTCAATATCATTTTTAAATATGTGTTTCCAATCAATAATTGTGCTTACAAACCTAGTAATATGTACACGAAGAGGTTTGGCTCACTCTATGGCAAGACAGTTTTGTCTCTTTCCCTTTCTTAATGAATCCATACAAAACATTAATTAATGATTTATAAAGTGTTTACAGATGAATCAATAACCTATTTATAAGACATCTATAAGGGGAGCCTTAATGTAAAGTAGTACCTATTATTATTATTATTATTATTATTATTATTATTATTATTATTATTATTATTATTATTATTATAATTTTGTCTTTGTAGACGATTCATCGAAAAAATCTGGGTGTGTTCGCGTGAAATTCTTGGACGGGTTTCTGCTGAGTGTGCAAATTAGAAGAAGACTTCCCACTTTGTAGTCGGTTGTTTATTCTTTCAGGGACATTTTCAGGGTGGAACGACATTTAAAATGTTCATCAATAATAAATATTTAGAAGAGGGGGCAGACAATGATTAATTCACTAAATCAGCCTGCCAGTAATCTGCATAATTTAGCAGCACTGTATTCAAAAACTCAGTTCTGTGTGAACTGAAACATCCACCCACCCCCACCCTGCAGCACACGTRCCCTTGTATTCAGGACAGGGTGTGGTTACGCATATTAACTCCCGTCTATCACTTCTGACAGATTTGCTGACAAAGGCTTTCTCTTTTGCATACTTCTGCCTTTATTGGGCTTTTTTTTTTTTCAGCAGAACGAGCAAAAATCACATTTAGAKCTCAGAGTTCGGTTGTGTAAAGAGTTTCTATCATTTGAGATCACACTGATGTGCACTCACATGATAGCAGACCAACAGGCAGATTTAGATAAGATAGTGTATAATTTATATAATAGAGTTTAATAAATGTGCCATACAGAGCATTATAGCAGACACCATACTGTTAACATGAGCACTTTTTACATCTAAACTCTATCCTCCCATTCTTCAGCTTATAGTGTTTACATTAATCCAGAGGTTTCCTTCCTGTTTTCGCATTCACCATCACTTCATGTCTTCCATTGCCGCCATTTTCTTTTTACTTCTGTCCTCCCTCCCTCCCTAACTCTTTGCCCTCGTTCTTTTCCTCCTTGCTTCATTTGGAAACCTGCTCTGCCTCCCTCCTTCTCTCCATCCTGCTGGCTCAGCTGCTACAGAAGCAGCCTTTGTTTCAGCGGTGTCCTCTGTCCTTTGAAAGAGAAAAACTGAAAAAAAAAGAAAAAGTAAATGAGTCAGAGGGAAGAGAAGAAAAGTAGGGATACATGAGGTCTGGGTGAGGATGGAAAAGAGGAATATTGGGTGTGAGAAAGAGCAGAGGGAAGAAGAAGGAGGGATGTGTTCAGATCAATGGTCAGGGTTGTTCAGGTCATTGATATCCACTAGCAGCAGATTTCCTGTGTGCAATGATCAGTCTACAGGACAGCAGCTCCAAACTTAGCATGCTTGCTTTAAGCCAAACAGTTTATTGATAATTAGGCTGCTTTTGTACACAATCAATGGTAAAGAACACCGTACACCTTTCTGCAACCACATTTAAATCGTTGGTGAAAACTTTGTCTTTAGTCGACAGTTAAAAAGGATTTTCTCTGTTTGTGTCCTTGTTTTGTTCTGTAGTGAGGGGAAATAAAAAAAAACTGCCAGAGGACTTTTGAGCTGSTGCCTTGCCCATGATGTCATGTCCTTATAGTAACACGTGAACCTGGAGACGCTCGGTGTGTAATATGTTCTTGCAGCTTTGAAGGTAAGAGAATCATCAAATACGTTATCAGTCAGACATTGGAATGATGCTCTTATGTTCTTGCTGCAAAGTCAAACTAAACCATGTCCCTTTATTTAGCTTGGCGTGTCTGAAGGGAAAGAAAATGATTAAATACAAATTTGTGAACCTCTGGAGCAGACACAACATGTAAACAAGCCAGATTAACATAAGAACGTGTTTTAAATCTAAATATGATGACACCGAGTAACAAATCTTAATAATGTATTAAAAACAACAAGGCATTACAAAGATCTGCCTTACATTTATTTATATTTGAACACAGAATAATGCTCGACAGCTGAAACATTACTAATGTTTGCTTGGACGGTGCAGCTTCTTGTAAATAAAAGTTCTTGAACATGAAAAGTCTGCAATTTATTTTGCATTAGTTGAATCTTATATTTCTCTCACTTAAATAACTAAAATAACTCATATGTCTAATCATAAACCAATGTCAGATATCTGGAATGTAAATGTGGTGAAGACGTTTTAAATGTAATAACAGCTTGCCATACTCATGCTGTTGAAAACGATATGCTGTGATCCAAGAGCGGAAGGTGACTGTTAATTTAGCAAGATGGACTTAGGAGCCAGCAAACATTTGCTTCTTTTTTTCATCTCTGCAGCTAAAATAAATAAATAAATAAATAAAT